ATGCAGGACTCGATCCCAGGGCCCTGGAACCATGACCTGAGCTGAAGGCAGATGCTTAACGACTGAGCCACCCAGGCATCCCCAGAGCATATCCTGTGTTAACAGAACAGGTCCCAGGCCCGGGGTTGCTCTCAGTCCAGCAGGGAGAACTGATCATGAAAACACAGCATTCAAGTGTTTTCGTCAGGCATGCTGCTGGAGAGGACAAGGCAGTCATGGGTAGAGTCAACAAAACTGGAAGAAATGGCATTTAGTTTCATCACAAAGGGTAAGCAGTCACTGTAGGAGGAAGTTTGTAGCTGTCCCCCACTTCACCTTCCCTCCAAGGAGGAGGAGGATGTCATGGATTGGTCAGATTCAAGAATATTGAACCAAGCCCAGTCCCAGGGGTGGGGCCTCAGCATGTGAAGGCATGAGGTTAAAGGTAGGTCCCAGCCTGGGGATGGCGCCTGTCTATTTCTTCTCTCTTAGACACTTGAGGTAAGACGGGGGCTTGGGCTGCTTCCCACTGCTGAGGAGGTGCACCCTCTCCCCGTCCCTGCACCGTTCTCCTTAGAGGGTGAAGAAAGAACCAGAGGGAGGACACAGAGGGAAAGGAACCAAGACAAAGCTGCTGGATTAGGGCTCTGTACTTGAAGTTGGGGCCAAAAGTAAAAAGTTTGTTTGCTTGCCATATCCACTGTGCATATATTCCCCAGGAATACCTTGGGTTGGTAAGGGGCTGGTGGATGACCCAGGAATCCATGTGCCATTCATCTATCTTGGCATGAAACCAGAGGAGGGAATAACCAACAAACTTTTCCTGTCCTAGGAACATAAGTAAGAAAATCCCAGGCAGAGTGAATAGCATTGCAAAGGAAAGAAAACATATGCATGGAGCAACAGATGGAGAAAGAAGTGAAGGAACAGGGTCACAAAGGAACTATGTGATCCTCCTCTACCTCATAAACATTACTGTTTTAGTTGCTAATGTTACTGTAGTACCCACTTACAGCGTGCCATACATGGGTCACCTTACACAAATCACCTCCTATCATCCTCTGAGCCACTGAGATAAATGAATTGCCCGTGTTCCCACAGATGAGGAACGTGAGGCTTGAAAGGATCACCTAAGTGGCAGGTCTGTCCTCTTTAACCAACTTGGCTATTCAGCAGCCAAGAACACACGCTGAACTGAGCTCATTGTACCAGGTTTCCTGCCGGAGGTGGTACTTGACCTGAGTCTTGAGGGACAAGGAATCAGGGCCAGCAGAGGCCATGAAAGCCTAAGGTGTAAGGACTCCAGGAGATCCAGAAGAGGGCACTGAGAAAAGGGGGAAATCCAGCACAAAACAAAAACAAAAACAAAACCATGGAGGACTCCCAAAGCTCCACAGTGTCAGCATCCAGGAGCAGAGTCCCGCCCTCAGGAACAGGACCTGGCCCAAGCTTTTCTTTACTCATATCAAAAACTGGCTCTGATTCAGCTTCCTGGATCAGCTTTATCAAAGTAAATCCAAGTTTCCTTGAGACAAGAATTGCTGTTGCATTGAGACTGAGATGATTTTTCTTTCTAGAAATGATTCTGGGCAGGGAGAGAGAAACTAGAGAATGCTTTTCCATTTTTTGTAAAACTAGCTTTTGTGTGGCCCTTTGGCATGGACAAAATTATTTTCTTGCTTCTGATTCCACTGAGGGATGAGTGTTGACCTTCTCGATTTCTCAGCTGAGAAAACTCAAACCCGATTAACGACTTGACACAGTTAATGAACGCAGCTGGGACTCGTGCCCAGTTATTCAGACTCCAAATTGTATTCTCATTCTTTTTTTAATCTTTCATTTACTGGGGGAAAAAATGTGCCAGGCACAGGACAAGCCACTGAGCTTTATAATTAAGTAGACTTAGACTATCTCACTGTCTCTCCTGTCTCAGTGCCTCAAATGCTGAAGCATGAATATAGTGAGAGTATTTCTAATGGAACTCAGTGATTGCACCAACACTTTTGCAAGGATCTCTCACTTTTTTGGGCAGTTACTGGCACTGCCATTTTTTTTTTAAGATTTTATTTATTCATTCGACAGAGAGCACACAAGCGGGGGGAACAGCAGGCAGAGGAGAGGGAGAAGCAGGCTCCCTTCTGAGCAGGGAGCCCAATGCGGGGCTCGATCCCAGAATCCTGGGATCATGACTTGAGTGAAAGGCAGATGCTTAACTGACTGAGCCACCCAGGCTCCCCATGGCACCGCCATTATTTCATTGAACACCTGCTTTGTATCCATCCTGTGCTAGACATTATGCGTGGACTATAATAGGCAAGCACTTGAGCACAATTCAATCCAGTAACACCTCCTATGTGGAAATGACTCAATCTGAAAATATTTATTGAGCACATACTTTGGCGAAGTATTCATTCAACACATATTTATTGGCACCTCTGATAATCATAATAGGTAATATTTACTGACTGCCTATTCTGTACTGAGTACCGTGTGAAATTCTTTACATATATTATAATTTACCCATCACAGTAACTCTTAGGAGGGAGATATTAGCTTGAATTAACTTGCTCAGAGCATGCAATTAGAAACTAGTAGAGGCAGGGAGAGGCCTTGTGGATACCGAGGACGGTGCTCTGGCTGCCAGTGGGGTTGGCGTGGGCGCTGCCAGTGTGCAAATAAAGCACCCCAAGTTCCAGACAATGTGGGAAACTCGTTCTGGGGCATCTACCCCTTCACCACTGATGGGAACGATTTCCGGAGGAACTTTATCCTCACTTTGGGACTTTTTGCTGCGGGTGTTTGGCTGGCCAGGAATTTGAGTGACATTGACCTAATGGCACCTCACCCGGGGTGTAGTCAAATAGACACATAGGACCCCCTCCGCTGAACTTGAACATTCCAAAAACAGAGCCTCCCATTATTACCATCACTAGACTTGCTCTGATGGAAGTTGAGGTTTCATTCAGACAAGCGCCTTCCCTTCCCAATTTCCTTTTCTCTGTTGAGCCCACTCAGAACTCTGTTCTCTGGTCAGCAGTCAGATTTCAGCCAAAGTGTTATTCTCTGTTCTGTAAAGTTCTGTACATAGCCCCTAGGTTTTTGCAGGGGTGATCTTTGCTCTTGCCCTGAGGAATAAGCTAATGGTATTTTAACAAATATTTGGAATAAAGACTGCACACAAGGCAAAAGGAAAAAAGAAACTAGTAGATGCAGTATTTGAACCTGGGAAACCAGCATTTTTTTTTTTTTTTTTGAAACCAGAATTTTCCACCACTATGTTGGTGGAACCCCAGGACACCATGGGTGAACAACACAGATGTCATCCCTGCCCTCAAGATGCAAAAGAATAGGAGAGAAGATACACTTTAAAACAAATAATGTTCTGGTCTCCTTTGAGCTACAATAAAGCCTAGCCAGGGCCATACCTCTTCAGTGGACCTAAAGGATGAAGCGGCTGAGCAGGCATTAAGTAGGCAAAGGAGGGAGAGGGCATCCATCCAGGCAGGGGAGCTCCAAGGCAGAAGGAGCTTTGCCAGTCTAAGGCTGGTGGCCAGGGCATGTGGCTGACAATAGGAAGCCAAGGAAAAGAGCATGAGGTTTGGCATGAAATCTGCACGGTTCACAGGTACTCCAGCTACTGTGGAGGAGGGATCCCCCAAGAGCACGGAAGTATGTGGAGAGACCGAGCAGGAGGCTATGTCATCCGAGCTGCAGATGCTAGTTTGGAAGAGACTGTTGATAGTGGGAATGGAAGTAGATAGGTGGAGGAAACATGAAGGTGTTAAAATCAACTGGGCTTGGGTGGGGGGATGAAGACAAGGAAGGAGTCAATCACAGTTTGGGGCTTGAACACAAACCACTCTGGGACAACTCTGGGGACAAAGATGAGAGTTGAGGTTGCACCCGATGTGGCTGTGGGCCACTACGTGGAGTTTGGAGGTCCTCAAGCAAAGGAGATAACTAGGACAGAGTCTGGGGACCTCCCACTATTAAGGGTGGAAAGAGGAGGAGATGAGCAAAGGGAATTGAGAGATATGGTTTAAAAGGGAGGAGGAAAGGCAGGAGAGAGTGGCATCTCTGAAAGAGAGTGGAGTGTTTCAAGAAGGACAGGACCCAGTGTGATGGGATTTCACATGGAGTAAATACAGGAAAGGCTGTTGTGATCTGGAGTTCGTCCTGTCGGGTCTTCATGAAAGCAGGGTTTGAACGGCAGCTGGACAGGTGCAGGGAGTTAGATACACAACAAAGAGAGCCTGACCTGCCATGTTTGGGGAACAGAAAATAATACCAGGCAGGAAGAAAAAGAAGTGGGGCTGGAGGAAGTGGAAGAGGTCGTAATACCAGTGCCACTTGTTGACTGGCTTTCTATGTTCATTTAATGCTCCCAATAACCCTGCAAAGTAGGAATCTACTAGCCCTTTCTTGTAGAGAACATGCAGCCCTAGAGATTGGAAGCGACTTGTTCAAGAGGATACCCGTAAGTGGGGACACCGGAAGAGGACCTGGGTCTGAGTCCAATGCTATCACCTCATGCTTCCTTGACTAGGGTGGCAAGGAAGGGAAATGGATCAGAGAGAGGGCTAACAGGGATGGAGAGGAGGGAATAAGCATGGAGAGACTGGGGTGCAGGAACTCCAGGATATGGAGCATGGATGTAAATTGAGGCTGGGGAGAGTCAGGGCTTCTGGTTGGAGCAACTGGGTGGATGGTGGTACCATTTACTGAGGTGGAAAAGCAGGATATGAAGTCACGGGAAGATGAAGATTTTAACTTTGACATGAGACTGCTGCGCCTAGGTGGCATACAGGGGAGATGTGGGGAGACAATGAGATTCTGAAAGTCAGAGCACTCCGGACTGTGGGAGACGGAAGATGCTTTTGTGTACTCTTGAACTGAGTTTCCTTTGACCTTGTAGCAGCAAAGGTGAGAAGGCCTGGTTCTGGGAGAGAAGTGGGAAGGGTGCTCTTCCGCTGATGTCAGACATGACTCCTGGCTCACCTCTGACTCGGTTTCCCCCACAGATGTCTCTTCCCTGCCTCAGGTCCATGAATCCCAGGGCTTTGTCCCTTTTTCTGGTGGGTTTGAGCTTCTTGGCCCTGCACCTCTGGTTCCTCCAAGCCTCCGGGTCCCAAAGGGAGAAGGCGTGGGATGATTCTCCAGAGGCTCCCCCTGTTGCCCTTGCGGCTGTGCAGCCATGGGCATTCAGTTCAGAGTCCCGAGGTGTGGTCAACGACTCGGTCAACGCCATGGTCGAATTCGACTTCGAGCAGCTCCCCGCGTGCATCCGCAATCCAAGACTTCCTGCAGTGCCGCCACTGCCGCCACTTTCCCCTGCTCTGGGACGCGCAGACCAAGTGCATGGGCTACCGCGCGCTGCTGCGGGCGGTCAAGTCGTGGCCCGCCAGCCACCCATGGCGCGAGCTCATCCGCCGCACGTGGGGGCAGGGGCGCTGCCCCTTCCTGCTGGGCTCCCTGGGGCCCAGCAGGCCGAGAGCGCCGGGCGGCTGGCGGCGCTGGCGGCACTGGAGGCGCACGAGCACAGCGACACGCTGCAGCGGGCCTTCCGCCACACCTTCCTCACCCCACGCTCCAGCACCTGCTCTACTGCCCCGCCGAGCGCCGGCCGCGCGCACGCTTCCGGCTCAGCCGCGGCGACGACGTCTCCGCGCACACCGCCGACGTGCTCCGCTTCCTGCAGACGCGGCAACCGGGCCGCCCCCTCCTCGCCGGGCAGCTCCTGGCCCGCTCGGTGCCGGTCCGCGACGGCTGCAGCAAGTCCTTTGCGCCCCCGCGGCTCTACTCCCGGCAGGCCTACCGGCTGCCCAGCCCTGCGCGAGGCTGCCCGCCACAGCCCGCTCTTCCCCATCGGGATGCCTACAGGGGCACGTGTCTGAAGCGCGCCAGCCCGGCGCCCGGCAGTCCTCCTTCCACCCCTGCCTGCGCCGCGAGCTGCGGCCTGTGCACAGCTGTGCGCCCTATGAGATGCTGCTCATGTGGAAGGCGCCGCTCGAGCCGGGGGTGAGCTGGACCCGGGTCCTGAGGACCAGCAGGAGGGTGAGCAGCCCCCACACGAGACGCTTTCCGCGCTGAGAACGCATCTTCCCTGCTCTGTATGCCTTCTATCCCCCACCCCCCACCCCAGCTCGGTGCACCCGAATCCGAACCTGGCTACACAATGGAATCACCAGGGCGGGGTTGGGAAAGGCATGGGGCCTGGCCCCACTTCCACAGTTTCTGACTGTTCCCATCTGGGGTGTCCTCAGACATCTAGGTGATCCAAATGTGCAGCTATTCGGAATGAAGCCCACTGGGCAAGGGAGGTCTGTTATCCTTCCAAGCCCAGCTCCTTTGCCCCCCTCCAGGAGCCTGCGGGTCTAGCTCCCGCACTGAGTCAATGGGGGCAGTGGAGCAAGGCCGTGTGAGGAGCCAGGATGGAACGTCACCTGTTGGGTGCGGTACACGGATACTACACTTGATCTTAGCCAAAAGGCGGAGAAGCGATGGGGTGCGGTACACGGGTGGTCATTGCCGTCATTCGCTCCGCTAGTGAGTACAGATGGGGCCGAACGGCCGGTCAGCAGGTGGATCCCCTCCCCTAAAGTCAGTTCACACTTGGGCCCTGGAAAGCAGCCAGATCAGAGGTTGAGGGGTGTGTGTGTGTGTGTGAGAGAGAGAGAGAGACAGTCTTCCTTCCACCCAGTTCTCTTTACTGCTCCCCCACCCCTGCAATACCTCTGTGAGATCAAAATCCCCACTGTGCAAAGGGGGACCCTGAGGCTCACCGAGGACAGTGATCCAGGGCCATGTGGTCATTCCCAGTTATCCCACCACTGTGGTCCCCTCCACACTCACTGACTCCAGCTGATGGCCTCTTCTAATGGCCTTGCCCATGCACACCTGCCCCAACAGCACTTACTCCCAGGATGGGGGGAATGGCACGGGGGCACAGACAGGCTCCTTGTCAGGTCTGGGCCTCAGAGTTGGTCAGCCATGGGGAACCAAGCTGGGGATTCAGGGGGGGGCAGCGTGGGGGTCAATGATGATGAAACTGTGAAAGATGCTGACTGGGAAATGTGGACAGTATTTGGAAAGTGTGTGGAGGTCAATGTACAGAACTGTGTTGGGAGAGTGCAGGGGTGATTGGCTCTGTCGTGAACATCAGTTAGGAGGCTGGGGGGGTCAGTGATCAGGACTCTGAGAATCAGGCTGTGGTCCTGACCGCCAGGAGCTGTCAGCCATCTTGGCAGAGCAGGAAGATCAAGGAAACGGCTTCAGGGTGAGGCAGAAATGTGTATCAAGGTCCCAGCCTGACAAGAGGGACACAACTTCAAGAAGGAAGGAGCCCCAGTGGGAAGTCAGGAGGCCGACCAAACGCCTTCCCTGCCCTCAGGACAAGGCCCATCCCTCCCCTATGGTGGACTCGATCTGGGCAGTACCACATGCAGTGTCTTGCTTTGTGGGGCTCCCTCCTGCCTCTCCCTCTCCACACAAGCTCTCATCCCCTCACAGGAAATACCTTCCAACCGCCACCACCATCCACGTCTCTCGAGGCATTTAGGAAGTTGCCTGCTCTCCGCCAAAATCTGCTATTCCCTCCCTCCTGGGCGCACAGCACTGCCTGGGAGCCTACACTGCCCAGCTTTCGTTGCAATTCGCCATGACCCTGTGACCAGGCTTTCTTAGATGACTGCTTGTGGACACCATGAGGAGCACACCTGAACCCTGCCTCGCCTGGGCTCACCTCCCTGGATTGGCCCAGGGATGGGCCTGTGACCCAGCTCTGACCTCACAGATGAGGACAACACTCCAGGCCCACCTCCAAACAAAGAGCTGCTCTACCCAAGATGTCAATAGTGCTGAGGTTGAGAAAACTCTTCCTCTCTACAAGGACCTGGAGTCAACCCTGGATCTCCAACAGGCCTTTACCCAACTCCTGATGCGGTAGCCAAGTGCCTCAGGAGTCACCTCAGCTTGAGTGTGCCGCAGCCACACCTCAGGCCTGCCTCCCCAACCATGCTCCCATCTCAGGAAAGGGCCCTATCATCTCCTGACTGGTCCATGCCAGAAGGTGGGCGGTGATGATGCAGCTCCAACTCTCCTCCCTCATAGCCCATCTGGTCCACCACCAAGTTCCATTGATTCAAAATAGCTCTCCAGTCAGTTCTTTCTCATCTATCCATCTTCTTCTCCATGGTACCAGCTCTCACATGGGCCAGAGCCACCTAGGGATCCATTCTCTGCCCTACAGTAGCCAAAAGCCAGATCTGGTCATCAATTGGCCCCTCTCAAAATCTAGCCCTGTTGCCCTTGGATAAAGAGCAAATGCTTTTCCCTGCCCTCAGGACAAGGCCCATTCCTCCCCTATGGAGGAATCTGCATTCCTTTGACCCCTCCAGCTTGATTTCTCCCCACTCTGCTGGGGCCTCTTGAGGTTCAGTGCATTCTCTCTGGCCCCTGGGCCTTCCACCATGCTGCTTCCTTGCCTGAAACATTTTTCTACTCTCGCTTTGTCTTTTAAAAAGTATTTTATTTATTTATTTGACAGAGAAAGAGCACAAAAAGGAGTGGCAGGCAGAGGGGAGAAGCAGGCCCCCTGCTGAGCAAGGAGCCCAATGGGGGACTTGATCCCAGAATCCTGGGACCATGACCTGAGCTGAAGGAAGATGCTTAACCCACTGAGCCACCCAGGCACCTCCCCTGTCCTACCTCTTCCCCACCCCTACGCCTCTTCCTTCATCTGACAGAACCTTCAGATGCAAGATGAAACGTCACTTCTTTGGAAAAGCCTTTCCCAACCCACTAGTCCTGGGGCACAGGGTTTCTCAACAGGATGGGTCCTTACACTCTATCTTGTTCTAGCTCTGAATTCCCCGGAACCCTCTCATCTGCATTCCCACTGCGGTGACAAATTGCCACAAAGCCAGCTGCTTAAACCCATGCAGATTTATTCTCTTACAGTTCTGCAGGTCAGAAGTCCAACACAAGCTTCACCGACTTAAAACCAAGGTGTCAGGACTGTATTCCTTTCTGGAGCTCAGGGGTGAATCTCCTTTCCTGGCCTCTTTCACCAATTCTGACTCTCCTGCTCCTCCTGCTTTTAGGGACCCTTGTGATCACATTGGGCCACTTGGATAATCCACTCGGATCATCCAGGATTATCTTCCTATCTTAAAATCAACTCATCAGCAACATTCATTCCCCCTGCAACCTTAATTCCCTTTCCCCTTGTAACCTAAACTATTTGTAAGCTCCAGGGGTGAGGGTGTGGACATATCTTGGGGGGTCATTATCCTGCCTACCAGTGCCTAATAAATATTTGTTCAATACGTGAACAATGATTAAATAATCAACTAAAACTAATAAATGAACAAATGTTCTCCCTTCACACAGACCTCCCTGAGGCAGAGTCTCAATGCTGGATTCCCTTCTCCCTAGGGCTTGTAACAGACAAGAAAACCAGAATGCTGAGGCCAGGAGTGGACACCTTCCTTATTTACAAGAAAGTCTGACTTCTGTGCTTTGACAAATTCCTCCTGTTTTCCTGACAAGCAGATGGACTATCCCACCCCCCCTTTACAAGTAAAGAGATTAAGACTCAGGAAATTTATAGCTCAGAAGGGTTAGAACTCTGTAGTTATGGGCCTGCTGTGTCACTCTGGGTCCTGGTCATCCCTTCTCTGAAGCTGAGCTGCTCTTGTCACCAGGCCCAGTGAAGACCAGCGTCCGGCAGCGCCCGGGCACCCCCTGGCGTCATCTGATCCTCAAGCGCGCCCAGCTACCACTCACCCCGCCCGGCCCTTCAGGCTTTTGCGCCCCACAGCCGCGAGGGGGCGCTCCTCGCACACCATTTCTGCGGGGAGGCTGGCGGCGGGTTCCTGGTTCGGTGAAATTCTGGGTCACGGGGACGGTGCTCCCAACACCATTACCCCACCAGTGCTAATTGACAAAGACCACATAAGCAGAGAAAACGATGGGCCTGTCTCACAAACGCGCTTGCGAAATCCTACATAAAATACCAACAGACGGAGCGTGACAACATGTAAAAAAGGAAAATGTATCAGCATCTGGATGGGTTTATCCCAGAAATTCCAGGTGGGTTTATTTAGCATTAGAAAAGCAATCGCGGTGAATGGATAGAAAAGGAAGATGTGTCAGTGTGGCACGTCAGATCAAGAGAAATGTGTCTCTGGTGCAGGAGGAAAAAATGGATAAAATTCAACACCCATTCGTGACTCACTCACTCCCTTCCTTCTTTCCTTCACCCTCCTTCCCTCCCTCCCTCCCTTCCTTCCTTTCTTTCTTCTTTCTTTTTTTAAGATACAGAGAGAGAGCGCGAGCTGGCGAGGGGCAGAAGGAGAGGGAGAGAGAATCTCAAATCAGCTCCGTGCTCAGCAGGGAGCAGTGATGGGACTGGATCTCTCCACCCTGAGATCATGACCCAAGCCCATATCAAGAGTCCGTCACTTAATGAGCCACCCAGGTACCCCAGCCATTCATGACTTAAAAAAATTTTTTTTTCTTTGTAAAAGGTGAAAGCATTTGAAAGCATTTCCTTTAATATCTGGAACAAGATGGGGTGCCTGGGTGGCTCAGTCGTTAAGCGTCTGCCTTCAGCTCAGGTCATGATCCCAGGGTCCTGGGATCGAGCCCCGCATCATGCTCTCTGCTCAGCAGGAAGCCTGCTTCTCCCTCTCCCACTCCCCTTGCTTGTGCTCCCTCTCTCACTGTGTCTCTCTCTGTCAAATGAATAAATAAAATCTTAAAAAAAAAAAAAAAGATTTGGAACAAGATTTGATGTGCCCACCATCACATCTGTTCAACATTGTCCAAGACGTGAGAGCACAGCAGGAAGACAAGATAAAAATTCAAAGATATAATGACTTGAAAACAGAAAGGAAACAATCAAAACCTCAGAGATCTGCAACCCTATCTGCAATTTCCCGTCTCTATAACAAATTAATGCCATACTCATCTGAAGTGAAATTTGTGCGTAATTTAATCTCCCACGCATATATTTTCCAAAAAATCACCATAATCCTTTAATTTTAATATTAGATTAAAAAATACTTTAAAATTATATGAATTGTAATGTGTAAGTTCTTGGGCAAAACAAGAATAAACAAAAAACCCCTTACAGATCTCTAAACTAGGGGGCAGTATACCTCATTGAGAACCAACATACAAAAATCAATTTAATTTCTATATAGTAGTAATAAGCGGCCAGGAAAAGTCATTTTTTTAAAAAAAAGTACCACAATAATAGAGGGGCACCTGGGTGGCTTGGTTGGTTAAGGGACAAGCACCTCGAAGTCCCTGACTGCCTTGAATCCCTACCCCAACCAGGGAACAGGGATTATCATCATCCCCACTGGCCAGATGTGGAGACTGAGGCCCTGGTAGGAGAATGACCTGCTCAAGGTCACACCAGTCTTTAGAAGGAGGAAAACCTTCTCGGTCCCACCCATCTCAGCGGCACTGGGAACGGGGTGGTGGCAGCAGCCCTCTGAGGCAGGAGGGGAGGGTGGAGCTCCAAGGTCAGGCCCACCTCAGCTTCCTCACCATTCTCCTTTCCTGTTTCCTTCCCAGCCCTCCACCCATTCAATTGAGAACCCCACCTGGGTGCCCCCTAACCCTGCCTGTGGAGGCCGTGGGGATGGGGGGACTGCTAATCTCTCCACGTTAAATCAACATTATAACGATTTTTAGAGCCAGTCCCTCTCCACCCTGGAACAGTCATTTACAGAATTATTCTGTATTGTTCATGACCCTCTTCTTCCCTCCTGCCTAGACTCAGCCTGGCCTTTGAGTAATGAACAGGCTCATTAACATAATTTTCCCAGTAGAAGAACAGTCTTTCCAGAAGGTCAATTCTGATGCTCTCCAAAACCCAGGAATGACATTAGTTTGTCAAATGTCATCCTTTATTCTTGTCTCCTGCTTTTAAAAGTTTGAAGCAATAGAGTAGGAGATTGGATTTGTATTTCAGAAAATCTATTCCGCGCAGTTGAAGGGATCTGAGGGGAAGGAGGGGGTCCTGGGAAGAGTGAGGGAATGGGGAGCAGGGGAGTAAGGGAATGCTTGACCTGGGAGGGAGAGAGGAGTAGAGAGAGTCTAGAAGTCATGGCAGGAAGAATGGGACTTTGAGTTTGGAGTGCTAGCGGAGGCACAGGAGGGAGCAAGGCTGGTTCAGGTTTCACCCAGGAACTTGAACTTCACAGGCTTGGTGGGAAGAGTCAAGGTTCTTATGAGGATGCTCTGGGCTTTTTGGGAAACAGTCTGGCCATTCCTCAAAAAATGTCACCTGGAGTTACTCTATGACCCAGTAATTCCATTCCTAGGTATATACGCCAAAGAACTGAAAACACGGGTTCGTCCAAGTATTTGTACATGAATGTCCACAGCAGCGTTATCCATAATAGACCCAAGGTGGAAAAATACCAAGGGTCCATCAACAGATGAATGGATAAGCAAAATGCAGTATATACATACAGTTCAATGTTATCCAGCCACAAAATGGAATGGGTGTACTGACTGATCCGTGCTATAGCATCCACGAACCAGGAAAACATTCTGCTGGGCGAAAGCAGCCAGACCCCAAAAGCCACCTATTGTATGATCCTACTTGTACGAAATGTCCAGAACAGCCAATCCATAGAGACAGAAAGTAGTTTCATGGTCACCAGGAGATGGTGGAGGCAAGGGGAGCAACTGCTAACGGGAAGATGAAAATATTCTCGAATGAGATCATGGTGATAATTGTACCATTTTGCAAATAGACTAAAATCTACTGAATCTTACCCTTCAAAAGGGTGAGTTGTATGGCACGTAAAAAAATTATATCTCAATAATAACACATTTACAAAGATGCAGTTGGAGACAAAGCACTCTCTCAACTTCCCTGCTCTCCCACTCCCTTTTCCTGCTTTCTCTACCCCTTCCCACCTGCGCCTCAGGAACCAGTCTCTGCAGACTGTCTGTCCTTCCTGTATTTCCTTTGCCCAAATGAGCAGATCCCCATATGTCTGTGTGTGGGGTTTTTTTCTTTCAAGATTTTATTTATTTATTTGACAGAGATCACAAGTAGGCAGAGAGAGAGAGAGAGGGAGAAGCAGGATCCCTGCTGAGCAGAGAGCGGATGGATGCTGGTCTCAATCCCAGGACCCTGAGATCATGACCTGAGCTAAAGGCAGAGGCTTAATCTACTGAGCCACCCAGGTGCCTATTCCTGTGTGTGTTCTTATGTTCTCTTCTTTCTGATATGAAGAGCAGCATATTGTATAGACACTCTTTTGGCCTTTAATTTTTTTCTCTTAATAGTGTGTCTGGAATTCATGCCATATCAATTCAGAGATGGTCCTATTTAATTTTTTACTTCTTTTATTGTTTATTTTATTTTATATTTTATTTTATTATTTTATTTTTACAACTGCCAAGTACTTCTTTGCATGGCTGGGCTATAGTGTATTCAACAATCTCCCATGTGTGGTAGATTGTTTCCAAGATTTTGCAATTAAAAATAATGCTTCAATGAAAAACCTTTTGTATATGTATTTCCACATTGCTGGAGGCCTGTCTTCAAGAAAGATTCATGGAAGTGGAATTCCTAGGTGAAAGCATAAGGGCATATTTAGTTTTGTGAGGTATTGCCAAAGTTCTTTCCAGAAGGTTGCCTCAATTTGCATTTCCACCAGTGAGGTACATAAATGTATTTGAATGCCTATTTCCCCACAGCCTTGCCAACAGAATGTGTTGTGATATTTTTCATTTTTTGTCAGTCTGATAGGTGAGAAATGCAATCTTTCTCAGAGTTGTTTTAATTTGCCTTTCTCTAATTCTGAATGTCCTTGAGCATTTTTTTCCTTATGTTTGAGGGCCATTTTTTTCAAAGAGTTTATTTATTTGAGAGAGAGGCAGAGCAGGGAAGGTTTGGGGGGTAAGGGCAGAGGAAGAGGGTGAAGCACTCAGCAGGGAGCCTGGCCTGGGTCCAATGACCCTGAGGGCCATTTTTTATAGCTTTTCTGGTGAATTCTCTGTCCTGCCCTTCCCTTCATTTTACTGTTGGATTTTTGGATTTTGTCCCTCAACTGTTAAGAGTTCCTTATGTATTAGGGAGAGCTGCCCTTTGTGGTATAATGTTGGGAATATTTTCTTCCCGTTTGTCACTTGTCTATGGACTTAGTTTATGGTGATTCGTGTCATGCAAAGTTTGTTTATTTCTATGTAGCCAAATTTATCTGTCTTTTCTTTTATGGCCTCTGGGCTTTGAATCGTCATGGAAAGCCTTTCCCAACCATGACACTTGAAGAGGAAGTCACTCGTGTTTCCTTCTGGTCCTTGTATGGTTTCAGTTTTACACTTAGAGCCTGAAACCATGGAGTTTATTCTTTTGTTGGGTGGGGTGTAAGATATGGGTCTATTTTTTCCCCTTTTCCAAATGGCTACCCAGTAGCATTTATGACAAAGTCTATCTTTAGTATGTAACAAAGGTGCACCTCAAATCACTGGGATAACAATGTATTTAGGTTTGTTTCTAAATTTTTTAGCTAACTGCAATTTGTCTCTTCATGCACTAGTGTCACCCATTTTTAATTACAGAAGCTTTTATTGTTTTAATGCCTTTAATTTTTCATAAGTAAGCTCTACGTCCAATGTGGGGCT